TAATGAAAACACTCGCCTCTCCGCCGGCTTCCGGGAGTCCCGTCGGCGATCCGGTGAAGTCACGGACATCGACGTCACCGGACTCCTCCCCCCTTCCCCAAGTGGCTCCGTCGGCTAACGAAGGGACGGGGGGGAGGAATCCGATGACGTCGATGTCCGTGACGGCTAACGAAGAAGGGGGAGGAGCCCGGTGACGTCGATGTCTGTGACGGCTAATGAAGGGAAGGAGGAGGAGTCCATGTGTATAGGTCATCGCTGTGCTGTGTGTGTATAGGCCAATGTAGTTGGATCTGTATGTGCGTTATCATTCATCGAAAATAATCGATTCAAAACAAAATTTCGATTAATCGAACACGAAAATGTTAATCATTAGCAGCTCTATTATTATTATACAGGATTTATTTAGCGCCAACATTTTTCACAGAGCTTTATAGGTATTTATACAGCGCTGACAATTTACGCTTACAAGGAGCTTACAATCTAAGGTCCCTATCTCGCATACATAGAGGGCCAATTTAGACAGGAGCCATTTAACATTCCAGCGCGTCTTTAGAGTGTGGGAGGAGACCCATGCAAGCGCAGGGGGAACATGCAAATTCCTTGCAGATAGGGACCTGGCCCGGGATTCGAACTGTGGACACCCAGCCAAGGCTAACCACTACGCCAATGTGCTGCCCCACAGTAACTTATTTTTTTGCTACTTTTTTGCCTGTGGATTACTTAAAGCAGTGGTTCTCAACCTGTGGGTCGCAACCCACAGTTGAGGGGGTCCCCACGTGCCTTGTGTTGCTCTAGGCAAGAGGCTCCTCAGCCTCTTAGCGCAGCAGTGTCAGTACTCGTAGATGGCGCTGCAGCAGCCGGAGATGATGAGAGAGGGGAGCAGGCAGGAGTGAGGGGGGTGAATGCTTGATCACCACATAACCCACACTGGGCACCACAGAGCCCCCACTGGGCACCACAGAGCCCCCACTGGGCACCACAGAGGCCGCACTAGGCACCACAGAGCCCCCACTGGGCACCACAGAGGCCGCACTAGGCACCACAGAGCCCCCACTGGGCACCACAGAGGCCCCACTGGGCACCACAGAGGCCCCACTGGGCACCACAGAGCCCCCACTGGGCACCACAGAGCCCCCACTGGGCACTACAGAGCCCCCACTGGGCACCACAGAGGCCACACTGGATGCCATCAGAGAGCCCAATAGCCACCTGAGAGCCCACACAGATACTAGTATTGCTGCATCCCTAAATTTTACGGTTGGGGGGTCACCACAACCTGGCAAATGTTACCAAGGGGTCCCGGCCCTAGAAAGGTTGAGAACCACTGACTTAAAGTGATATGAACTACTTGCCGTCCACCCGTTGTAAATGAACTCCAAGAAAGTTGATTGTCACTCATAGGTGTTCCGCTGTTCTGATATTCTGCGAAATATTTAATTCCCAATCAGTTCCTATGGCAGGTATACCTAGTACAGTAGATAATAAAAACCCCGTAGTGGTGATTAAATACCACCAATAGAAAGCTCCGTCTGTCCCCCAAAAATGGTATCAAATTCACGCCAGTACAGCGTTGCGTGACGGAATAAATGTCAAAGTACCGCAGCGCTGAATACTGTAAAACGGCCGGGACAGGAAGGGGGGGTGTAACACCGCGGCGGTCAGCAAGGGGTTAAACCTTCCGCGTTTTTTACATTCTTTCTGTTTTCGGAGGCCGGGATCACTCTGATATACACTATTTTTTTATTCTTTGAATGTTTTGATTCCCTCGTTCTCGCGGTTTGGTCTCTTTTTGAGACAGCTGCTGTCTCTGTATTATACAGATAGTCTAGCCCTGGAACCTCTCTGGGCTCAGGCTCCCCCTCAGGTGGCAGGTTTATTACACGCATTCAGACTGGTAAGATCCCATTCATCTCTCTCGCCTCGTGCGACCCGCGTGGAGACCATTGTACCTCCGCCATGATACAGACTGAGGACTGTGGGGGTCGTAGTCCCGTATTATTCCGGCGTATTCCTGTCAGTGTGTGTCGTAGCCTCCGGCCGCGATGAAGCCATTGTTGCGAGAGGATGGACGGCAAATCTCATCCGATGTGTCACCTTGCGGAGAGAGGAAGCCGCTTGCGCTCTCGGATATTTCATAATTTGAAGAGTTTGGAGCCGTCGTATGCGAGACAAAAGGAGCCGACGTGGAATCCGGCTTGATGAGCGTGTCGGTAATCTGATTAGGGCGAGTGCTCTGCCCGCCGCTTCCTGACCTTGAGACATATTAGGAAGGACTGCGGGAGCAATGTGCGGAAAAAACATAAGGACTTTTCTCTGAGCTAAGTAGGAGCTCGATGTGTGCAATGTCATGTCCTATGGTTTCCGAGTGTCCGTAGTTGCTTCTGCTTCGTGCTTTTCCAGGACGAGAAACTCTGAATAATATATAGGAGGTTACTGGTCACAACCAGTCCACGGTGAGCCCGGGTCTGGACCGAACTCAGGAGCCAGGTCGCCAAGGCACCCA